CGTGAATAAACTCCATGGCATCCACTTCGTATTCTTCTTCTAATTCAATTCCTTGCGATCTTGGATCTAATAAATAGGCAGCATAATGAATAGGTTTCAAACAATTATTTGTTTGCCTGGTACAGCATTTGTAATCTCTTGTTTATGATCTTCATTAAGAATGGATATTTCGGGAAAAGGAAAATTAAATGTAGATCTTTGAAGGCCATATAAACTTCAGTTATAAATACTCCATTGCCTTCTAGTTTGAATTTATTTTTCAGCTATTGGTTCGAGTAGTTTTTTGCAATTTTCTACCATGGTTCAAAAATTTAAATCCATAAAATTTGATTTTATTTCGTCTGAAATAGTGGCATCTTCGTGAACAGTTAATGTCTGCAATGTTACTTTGGCATTTTTTAAACTTTTTAACGCTGTGCAGTACCTAACTACTTACCCCAACGGGTTTTCCCTGGCAATTTCATCGTTTCACCTGAACCCTTTACTTACACAATTTGAGCTAATAAAGCGCTCATACTTTTTTTATCCTATCTGTGGCAATCGATATAAATGCATTAATTGGTTCCAGTTATAAACAATCTTCGCACAGCAATTGACTTTGTGTGCTACACATCTCAGCGGAATTATATGTGGATACGAATTTTTAACTATCTGAAATGCTCTTTGAATATTATTTGCGTTATCTCCGATAAGAGTTACAAAGTGGCCTACATACACTTTTATAACTTTAATTATCTCTTGAGATATAATTATGTTGACTTGTATGTCGGTTTGTAAGAGTATTAAGGCTTTTAACCACACTTTTAACATAATAGGCTCGGGTTTTGCAATAATTAAGTTGATGATACCTTCATTACGCTGGCTGATAGCTCCAGCCATCTAGACTTCAGTTCGTCTGTAATTTCATTCACCATTTCGGTATAAACAGTATCCAAATGTGTAGTGGAGATTTCCTTTCTGGATGGTAACTTATAAAGTGGTTGCAACTCGGCAAAAAATCTTACCCACAGCGGATGTTCAACGATGGATAAATGAGACCCGGTAACAAATATTGCCTTCAATAGGAGCTGATCCAGATAAAGTTTCTTTTCTGCTAAAATTTCTGAAGAAGTCGTTGTAATAGAACTTGTATCCGTTAAACTTTTATCCTGTAATATTTCACTATGTGATTCATCTTGCAAGGGCCGATTTGTAGCAGTTGTGCTCGTAATAGGTATTTTCTGTAGTTTGTTCTTGATAACAGTTGGACATCTATAACATTTCAATAGATGGCTTCTCATCTTGCTGACATTGCCAAACTGGTAAACTTTTTCACAGTGTTTGCATTTTACTGTTTTACTGGTTGCCGAATGAAAATAGTTTTCCCATACATCAGCATTCTTCTTTCTGGGCATGATGTGATCTAAAGAAAAAATAAAACAAATGTGAAAACAGTAGAAATAGGTACTTTAAGTTGTTCTAAAGTATTGTTTAATAACAGAGTAGGTAAACCTACGAAACTAATATGAAATAAGTATAAATGGCCAAAAGAAGGAATTTATACTTTCCAAATGCCCACATATTGAAAGACTCTTTATAGCGATACTTATGCCATTCTCTATTACGAAGAAATGTTTTCATATTTATAGATCGCAAATATTGTTTACGTTATGTTATCAGGTAACAAAAGACTTTAAAGCTCCGAAACATTCAAGGTCGGTCTAGCTTTTATCATCCTTAATTGCCTTGAACACGTGCAGTATGACGCAATGTTTTGTCGGAAGTGATGGGCTTCGACCAAGCATACTTGGTACTTATCAGTCGAAAGTTTAAAACAGTTAACATGGCCAGTAAACGGAAAGCGATTAGTGTTGACGAAAAAGTTAGGTAAGTCTTTTTTTAGCAAAAACGTCAAACAAAGTTATCGGACTATATGTGTAAACAATAATTTATAAGCATTAATTTTATTATCTAAGACATATGTTAAAAAATCTTGTTAAATATTTTTGTTCATTCCATAATTATAACGACAAAAAATGCTCAGTCCCTTGGGTTTCGTTATAAAAAGTTTACACCGTAAATTAATAATTAAAACTTTTGTAGTCTAATATAACAATTTTATTATGAAAAGTCAAACTTACCGGTAAATTAACGTTGATAAAAAGAAGTAGGTATCGAAGTCCGTAAGAGTAGCAATTGTTGTCAATAAATCACGTATTTTAATACTAGGTAATCAAAAGTCCACAAAACAAAATCCGAGTCGTCAATGAAACCAACAAATGAACACGAGTCCGCACAGTACGAAGCTAGAACAACGTGTGAAACGGGTTTTCCGGTCCCCGCCGTTATTACCTCATTCGGTATTTTCCCCGGGTTTTTTCCTTATATTTGGGTTTTTTCCGGGTAAAATCCCATCTCTATGCACGATGGAACACATTAAAACTGTGAAATCTGTTAGTAAAATGATACAGCAGTAAATTTTCATTATTTTATTTTAAATCTTGATTGCGTAAATGTAATGCAATATTCACATATGTGTAGAATTTATAGCATAGACATTCGGCAACAGCCCTTGTGAAATAAAGGTAAGATTGTCTAAAATTAGATAATACAAAGGAGATGAATAAAAGCCACATAAAAAATCATGATTATGTATATTTAAAAAATTAAGATAAACGATAGATGTTAGAGTACCTACTTACAATTACCTGTACATGATGATAAATAACGAATTAATTTCGAGGAGAAAGTTTATCTTAGTTTCGGACATTTTCAATATTTTCTTAACAGAATAATTTAATATTGACCATAAGCGAAAACGTTTATATACAGATATATAATTATAATTTTCAACTTTAAACAAATATGAGACTATAATGAATATAATATTTAAAGGTACGTCAATTATATACTATGTATTTGTCCAATGCGACATAATAATAGTTCACCCACACACAAATGTAATGGTAATAAATACAGATTTTATTAAGGCTAGTGTTTAAGCTGAGAGGCAATTTATACAAAACTATGAATAGCGTCGTTAAAGGCCAGTTTACATCTTAAACTTCTAGCGAAAGAGCTAAGTACATAAAAAGCGCAAAATAATCTTAAATTATTCTAAAAAAGGCATGTTTTTGCTTGATTGATTCATATGCAGATCCAATTTACTTATATGGAGTTCACGAAGATTAATGAATCATTTTTTGGAAAATACAAAGGGGGGAAGACATCTGTCCTATAGCACAGTTGACTGCAACCGTTTCTACATAATTTCGTGCATATATTCCACAATTGAAACAGCCAAATTCAATAATAATCAGTAGCTTGATTTAGCATTAAATTAAAGTAAATCAAAGCATCGACGTAAACTGGCCCCAAATATAATGTGTCAACTAAAACTTGACACTGTAATCTAGTTTATAATCATATTATACAAGAAATATAAATATAAAATATATGACGTCGTAAAATAAAATGCAAGGTATTATACATTCTTGCCTCCAGACGCTATTGCCATTGCATATTCAGGCATTTTTTAATGATATAAAAACATTATATCTGTGACTGACGATCCTATCTCAGTATAGCCAGGCATCAACCAATTCGTTTATAATTGTGACCATGATATTTGCCCCAAAGAACTATTAGTAATAGTTCAAAATCATGATTAAACCTTGAAAGTGAATTGGTGTAAAGTGTCTTCTCATTAAATTTATAAACAAAGTGGCTAACCTGATCTATACCGCATAACTTTACTTAGAGTATGTCATTTATTTTGAGGAGAAAATCGGAATATTAGAGTGGACATATTTAAAAATATAACATCTTGTCATTGCTATAGTTAAAAATTTGGCAACATTCTCACTCCCCTTTGAAACCTTTAAGATGTCGAAAGGTCAATGATACAAATTATACTTCTAATCAATGTTTACTCCATCATTTAATAGTACAATAATATTGGTTCCATTACCTAACTAATGGCAACACTGCCCACAACACTGAATAACAATAACCCCATACATCAAACATACATTGATATATTCGTAAAACATCTATTTTGTTATATAGATCCACCTAATTTATTTTGGTGTCTCCGAGTCTATCTAGCGTTGGACATTTAACAATAAGATTTTCGATTTCCATATTATTCTAAAGTATTAACATCTAAAACAATGCCATTTTTACACATTCCTTTGGCATATCGTTCGCATTCATGTCAGTAACAGCAATTTAGCATTCCGCATTCGTTTCACATTCATGACTTCCAATGTACATACAGGATAAAACTTAAATTTAATCGGCTAAGAAACCTAAATCTAAACCACTCTTCATGCCTGAACAATCAGTCTTCTCATTGCGAAAATTATCATAATTTCATTTTATTATTTACATATTTTTATTTTAGAATTTTATAACATTCTATTTGCACAGTAACCTTTATACATGAAAAATATTCTGTCAATCTTTTTCTTTCTTTACAAAGCACTATCGGGATCTACAGTGGACGGGTCAAAAATATTCGTGAGTGATCGAGTGTTAATGTTTGAGCAAATAAGACTAAAGTTTCAAGGTACAGCGTGTGTCCGTGGGTTATGGCACTACAATTTACAAAATCTACGTGATGTAAGCTACGATTTACAAGTTAACGTAGTTTGGGAATCTTGAATTTTCTAAACCAATATATGCATTGAAGATCGATGTCAACTCTCATGTAACACTCTGTATAATGAGAAAATGAGTTTCAGTAAGAGAGCGATAACACATTCAATTCAAATATTACTTAAGAATTTCTTTTCATTTAACTATCAATTTTCCTAAGTGCGGGTGCTCATACAGGAAGCTAATATAGTAACAAAATTAAATAAATAAAGTACCCTTCAACGACAGCTGATGTTACTGATGTTAGTTTATAAACAAGCGGTTTTCTGATTCGTTTTTCAAAAGCTACAAAGCCATTTTTGTAGTATAAGGCTGGTGCGATGTAATGAATCATACAGGCAACATACGTAACGAAACTTAAGTAATTCTGTCGAAGGAGATCTAAGATAACAATCGCATCGTTTTGCCATTACAAGCTTGGATGTATAAGTCGATAAAGGGTAGAAAGGTGAGACGATACAGCCACATTAGATTAACACCATAAACACTTATGAAATAGAACAGAAAAAATCAATGTATAGTAACTAACATTGACATACTATAAATTTTAGATACATATGTGAATGTCAATGCCTTATGGTCAAACTATTTTGTATCTATGAAGTTGACAAAATACAGATTCAGAACAGAGAGTAACAATTGGGACATTAAGCTGATCAATGCTTACAACAGCTTTCAGAGCATGCCAATTTAGTATAACAATTGCTAGTCTCTATACTGAATCAAGCTTTTTTGCAGCATACACATAAATTGACAGGCTATACAAAAAATTTTCTGTCATAATTTCATCGGAGAAATTCACTATCGGTTAGAAATTGTATAGCAGTGCAGGGCTGTTGTTTTAAATTTCTATTTTAGTGTTTATAGTATTAATGTACGGTAAAACGGGGTGAATAGATATTGGCGAATTTTCCTAGTATCTATTCAGCCCGACTTACGGTACGGTGGCTGCAGACAAGGCTGGAGTAGTGTGAGTAGTTGGCTAGAGTATGCCGTTGGTGTAGTACTGGTAGTTGTCGTAGAGGCGCGTGGAGAGCGAGTGCAGCGCGTCCCGCACGAGTCGCTCGACGAGCGCGGCCAGCGCGGGCTCCGTGCGCCCCACGTGGAAGCGCGCGCGGAACGACGACACCGCGCTACTGCTGCGGAGGCACGACAACTGACCACCTGGTACGAATACACAATATCATTAGTAATCATTGCCAAGAGTTCTTACTCAAAGTTGGGTAGTTCTTTTCTGAAACAGTTCATGGTTTTTACAACTTATTTTCATTTTGTCTGGACATTAAAAGCTAGATAAAAATGTCGGTCACATTGGGCTAATTTCAAAATATCAAGTGTAGAATGGTCTCAGTATGCAATCTACATATAATAGTTGCACATTAAATATGAATAAACCACTTCTAATTTCCTACAAAAACTATTTATGGGCAGCAATGTCTCATTAATTGCAGAATATTAAAGACACACTAGAATTTTTCTCCTATGTCGTGGGTGCATTTAAAAACATACACATGACACCCAGACCCGAATCAACAATTTGTGGATCACACAGAGTTATTCCGTGCGAAAATCGAACCCGAGACACGTTGCGTGAAGTATGTAATATATCGTATATTACATATGTGTCATTCTGTGTCATTAAAACACATTGGCTATCAGTTTTTCAAAATGAAAAATCTCTTACATAAATATAAAACTGTTCAATAATGAGTAACTCACCCATGCGCATGAGTTCGACAACATGTATTATCTGGTCGCAATGTTTACGCGCAGCGATTAAACCGCGCAAAATAAGAATCTTGAAATACTGGAACATATCCGAATTCTCGCCGTCCATCACGTCCACAAACTCCTGTGTCAACTAGAAAAAAAGTAACAACAATTTATTAAAATCATCTTAAGTGTTGTTTAAAAATGAAACTAGCGAGATTATAATATATGATGGTCTTCCCTATGCTCTGACCACAATAAACTTAACTTGAGTTAAGGTTAAGTAAAACTTTATCAACTCCATAAATAAACATAAAAAGAACAATACATAAGTGAACTGCAGTGTGAGTTTGTTTTACATTTTCTCCGTTGGTTTGGATAGGTTTCGTGATTGGTTGATTGACTTGGACTTGGCCAGTCAGAGCGCTGAACTTCATAAACGAGTCGATCGCCTTAACATTAACTTCTGATGTTTGTAAGCATATTATATTCACCTTAAATGGCGAGCTCTCGAATCCAAGATTTTTGGGTGATATTGAGAATATGAATCCAAAGTCTATGTGGATTATGTGGCCCGCGCTATCCAGTAGGATGTTTCCATTATGCCTGGAACCAATAAAAAAAAATATTAAGTAAAATGAGAATATTAAAATTGCATGCATTTTGTAATTTATGTATGGATGAAAAGTGATAAATTTTCCCGTGAATTAAAAGACAAGGGAAAGTCAGGGACTAGCGATACTGTACCAAAATCTATTAATTAAGTAGTAAATTATTTATTGTATTGAAATTACGAAATCACTTATTTTTGTGTGAGGGGCTACGAAGTGCAATAATATAGATACTAACCTATCCTTAAGCTGCAGAAGGTAGCTGGTGAGAGCATACGCGGCCGCGGACTCCACGAAGTTATTCTGTGCGCGCAGGAAGCCCTCACTGTTTGGTGGACCATGTTCCAGTTCCAACCAGGCACGGAGAGACTTGCCTGACTGCTTCTTTATTTGGTGCAGCGACACTGAGTTCAGGACCTACAGAATAAAAGAAAGAATGTAAGATATGGAGGCGATACATAGCCATCGTCATAAATGAGAAATATTTTTTAATTTATTTACTGTATAACTTCTAATGTACAACATCACACCCGGTTCCTAGTAGAAACAAAATATTCTTGGAAATTATTCTAAATAACATTTTAAGATCAATAACATAAAAAATGTTGTATGAAGATGCATTTGGCAGTTATTCTAAATGCTTTGCTTCAACTTTTATTTCATTAGATAGTAGTAACAGTTCATAATTGTATGTATTATTTCAATTCAATTATAATTTTAAAAAAGTAAGTGTAATTGACACATTACTTACGTCATGTCCAATTGCATAATATTTTTATAGAGAGATCTATTTTTATATTTTAGTTCTAGAACAATAGGTTATGTATACGTAACACCTAATCGAGCAATTAGTCCCACTAGATAACCAACTGATATAACCACCACGTCGCAATACTAAAATTTGTTTTCACACCTTATCGTATTCATAATATTTATTTGAATATCATGCCAAATATTCCTCACAACTTTACAAAAAACCCAGTGATACAACGCATACGTTATCTTCACTCTGTTCTCTATCACCGATGCCCAAAGTGCTCCAAAAACTTGTAAGTAAACCTCTGGAGTTGCAAGTGACCATGTTAATACGCCACCTTATGCCATAAAAAGTATTTCCTATACTATTACTAGCACCTAAAAAAGCAAATGGTTCGCTTGGAAAGCGGACACCATCGTCTAAGCGCTCTTTAAACATCATAAGCATCACAAATTCGTTGCAAACGATGATGACGAACAATAATTTCGGGAAAGGGGTTTCCTAAAAGTAATGACCACAAATCGTACGTCAAAATAATGTGTAGTGGGTACGTTATCAATCATGAAAACTCACACACTCTACAACCTAACCCATAACACTAATTTATGGATCATAAAAAGTTTTGTTCCTTGCGGGAATCCTAGAAAACATTGCACAACAGCCACTTTCCAAGCCACGCGCTAACCATACAGTCAAAGTCAATGTTTCATACAAGTTTATTGCTAAAAACACTTAATTATACCATGTAATAGGAACTTTTTATCGAATTCGGTGCTCGAGTTCTAGTTTATCTCATCATGCAGACTTTATTTTATCTTATCTAGATAGGGGATTAAGGTTTAAAAATAGATTGTACTTATACCTACCTAGATATATTGACTCATTGTATTGAAAATAAATATAAATATCGCCTAAACGAAAATAAATTATAATATGTAATGGCATTGCATAAAGCTACCTACGTTAGTCAATATGATAAAACTTCTGATTGCTCTTATGTACTACATCCGTGCACAAAGTAAACTAAAAAAATGCAATTTCTTGAGGTTATGTTATTTGTTTCATATTCGTCACTCAACTGTGGTTACTAAAAACTATATACATAATAATGAATCAAAGTTTGTTTAACATGACACGTTTGTTTTTACTACTAACTTTAATCTGACAAGGCTGAAATGTAAATTTTACACGGTAAAACAGATATCTACATACATCCTTTATATACTTGGTACCTAATTCTGATTACTTAACAACATTCGTATGATAAATAGTCGATCGACACTATTTAACGAGACTTTTTTTGCCTTTAGCCAAAGATACAAGTGTGTTTCAGCCCTTTTGGTGGCAAAGGTGTTAGAAATTCTAGTATTTGGGTATGGAACAAGCGGAGGGAAAGGACCTCCGGTAACCTCGCTCTCACCACGAAATACAATCCAGGTATCGTGGTATCACTTCGGTCGAACCAAAATACCGATTATATCATGCCAAATTATAGCAATCCCACACTTACATCCTACCATAAACCAGCTTATTTAAATATAGGACAAGAACTCACCGGTTGTATAAGACCGCACTCCTTATCAAGACAGAGTATTTCATATGGCCTGAGCTTCAGGGGAACTCGCTCGGCGACCCAGGCAGCTTGTAACCTTCGGAGCAATTGCGCCGCCAACATTTCCTGGCGCAGGTCGTCGCCAACTTTGACGATACAGCCGAGTAGACGCCAACCACTGAGCGCCCCGTATGGGGATGATGAACGCATCCGAGCGTATTTGCTTTCCCAGGATTCCTGGAAGTAATTATATTACATTATTTTTTGATTACTTAATCTTTAAAAGGTTCTTCTAGAGAGTCATTAAAACTCCTGTTATCGGAAAATCTTGCTGAATTCAGAATCAACCGTCAGCATCCATTAACACTTTAAAAATTATATAGAGTAAATTATGAGCCATAATCTATGTACCACTGATTCTGTATCTGTTTTCCTATTTACAGTATGTGTTATGTGCACAAATAATACATTTAGAAAATGTTACAGGATAACATGAATAAGCTCATGACATAAAAGTACCCGGTTCCATTTTCCAAAAGTCGCAGTTGTCAGTGCCATAAGTAGGTATAACTGTATAATAATAAATAATCAATTTTACCTTGAGCGCCGTAGCCGAGGGATCAGCGGGATCATGTCGGAATGCGTTGGGCGGCGGCGCGGCGGTAGCGTCGGCCAGTCGCCGTCTCACTTCTCCAGCTCCGACCGCCACCGACTCGCGCGACCCACACGATGACGTCGACAGAGCTGATACTGCTGACACCTGGGGACAAAATAGCAAAACATTTCAAACGATTTCTTTAAAAAAAATTATGCCCAGGATTTCCTCCAGTGTTGTACACAAACAAGTATAATTTCTCATACATATCACAAAAACAACAATCTTATGTGGATCATACATTTTTTGCAGAACATTTATCTCTGAACGAAATAAAATCAAGCAGGTTGTCAAACAGAATAAGGAAAATTTGCTTTACTAATGCTGTGTTATATCTACCGGCAAATACCGACACTGACGTACATATACCTAAGAGCATTTTAGGCTGTACATTACTCCAAAATATCAGTGGAATATTGGCCGTCAATTATTTTAATTATCCAAGAATCCCTTTATGATGTCCTATATTCAGTTTTACTATTATATTTTCTAGTCCCTTCCACTGTTTTGACCATCAGACAATGGGCAAAACGTGAACGCTTTATGGTGAAAATCCCATCCACACGCATGAAGTGATTCGCCTCCAATTTTACTATTAAAATAGTGGTTTAAGTGTGGGAGAGCCATGCTTCGGCACGAATGGGTCGGCTCGACCGGAGTGATACCACGGCCTCACAGAAAACCGGCGTGAAATAACCACTGCGTTGTGTTTCGCCGTGTGAGTGAGGTTACCGGAGGCCCAATCCTTCCCCTTCCCCAATCCCTCCTCAATCCCTAAATCTCCAAATCCCTAATCCCTAAAAGGTCGGCAACGCACTCGTAACTCCTCCGTTGCGAGTGTCCATGGGCGGCGCTGATTGCTTACCATCAGGTAATCCGTCTGCTCGTTTGCTGACCTATTACATAAAAAAAAAAAAAAGTTGTTTTGATTTCTTTGCCTGAGTCTGTGGTGTTCCCCGAAGGGTATATAACCTGGCTGTCTTTAAGGCCCGAATTAATAAGTTATTTACGTGCTCCATCGTAGATGCATCGTCGCTTACCCCCAGGGAAATATCAAATACCAGGCCATTACAAATAATAATAAAAAACCTCTTCAAGAAAAATCACGTGACTATTACTCGTAGACCAACATTTCTCTTCACACAAGCTGGTGTAGAAAATTCAATGTGACTTTATCTGCAGCAATAATTATGGCTTTTAACTATCGTCCGCTGCAACATGCGAGGTGAAAGGGTGCAATAAAGTGAGAACTACCTCTCTCCCATTATAAATTGCATCAAGTAATTTTCCTATGTCATTATCTTGACATGAACGACGTATCTCCTATATTGTGAGTGTTTCCACCTAAATGGGTATAGAAAGTAAATAAGTATACTTAATTGCTTTTAAAACTAATAAACAAAAATGTTCAGATATCCTGTATTTTGAAATAGTAACTATTGCGAGACATCCCATTTATTAAAAAAAATGACTCACATGAATGAACTGAGAAAAGCTCTCCTAGTTTGAAGTCACAACGGGACTTCTAATCATGAGCAGAGTGCGCGTCGCGGAAACCGACCTAGTCGACTGTGCATAACGTATTCACGTGAGCATTTTCAATAAATTGACGAAAAAAAAAACAATCAAAATTGACGAAAAAAATATTGAATTTAATTTCCACGTTTTTTCATTTAAATATTCTTCTTTATTCTACTGTTTGCAAAATCCGGAAGTGGATTGATAACAATTCTGTCGAACAACTTCAGGCTAATGACACAAGGAAGAATTAAAAAATCTGAGGGCCAACCAAGAATGGAATAACGTCTCAGGAATAAAAAGCAACCTACATGCATCTAGTTTCCGAATTCAAATCAACAGATTAGAAGCAGTGCTATAAACAACATATTTAGCCCGGTTGTCGAAAATCATTTCAAAACATGTATACATAATTAATTATTTACATAAATGTTATATGTATACCGTTACGTAATTCTTAGAAAGGCCAATGATCCGTAGTAATAATATAAATATCAAATCCATTTAAAAACGTTTACATCGTAATCAGTTTTCGGATAAACCCAAAGATTTTACGTAGACTTTAAACATAATCGGTAATAACCACATCCACGTAGGTCAAATTAAAAAAAAACAAGTGACGTATAAAGTGACAACAGATTAAATATAATTACGTGTCACGGAGCAGAAAAAGTTCATTCAACAACCGGTTCTATAATCTTTGATCGTTTCAAGTTATTCATTAAGATTTTATCACTAAGCAACAAAGTACTAAAAATGTGAATAGCTAAAAATTATCATTTATCTTAAGTTAGTTTACTAAGCAGTGATGAATAAAAAACAAAGGACATAAGTAGGGGGAAAAACACTAACGAGTTCTTTGTTCAAACAGTCTGTAATTTAAAAAAGTATGGCTTCACAAATTATAGTTAGATAGCTACGTAAAACAGTTTTGTAGTTAGTCGAATGATGCTGCACACAATAGCTTAATAATTAAACTAATTTCAGTCAGAAACGCACACTTTTCTGTCATCTTGAACTGTTATTAATTAGTTACAGACAGATTAATTACATAAGTGATATAAAAGTACAATTTATGGTTTTAGAGTAGCAAGATAGCCACTATCCACTAGATAAACTTATCAAGAACTTGTTAAAAAACTGGACTTTAATCATGTGCCAATTACAGAGAAAATACTAATCAGTGAGAGACTTCTATACCTAAGTATTTAAGGGTCATGCTTCGGTACTGTTTGGTCAGCTCGACGGGAGTGATACTACGGCTTTATATAAAACCGTCGCGAAAGAACACAAGCGTTGTTACGCCGTGTCAGTAAAATTACCCGGAGGACCAATATTTCCTTCCTACGCCATCCCTAAATCACTAATCCTCAAATACATAACAACCCAGAAAAATCCAGCAACGTCTTTGGTGTTAAAAGATGATGGTAGGTAGATTGCTTGCCATCAGGTGAACTTAAACCAAATGCCTTGAAAGTAATTTAATAAACTACTAAGAGATTGTATGATGATAACGATTTATTATAGTATTGAGAAACATTCACCTCTGTTCTACACACACGAGTAAATACACGTGCCCCTTACACGCACGTGTTTGAGTACAACGGCACTGTCAAAAGGGTAAAGTCGCCAGCAGGCTGCAGGTCAACCTAACCTTTTCTGTTAAACTTCTTTATTAGATTTCCAACTTTAAAAACTTTCAAATAAAGTCGAAAATCCAATGGAGAGCTTGTAGTGTAGGTTGACGTGCTAGCCGTTGTTCTACGATTTATCGTTGAACTAGGACGCAGGACAAAGAACTCTATTCTGGGTTTCAGTCTAGACGGGAGAAACAACTAAGTGTAATTGTTTTCTGGTACGCTACAGCGACATGTTATGATTATGGTATTGGTATTGGTTTAGATATGGTATGATACGAAATATATCGTTAAGTTATATGCTAAAAACATTTTCACCAAATGTTCTTTTTTCTGTACTAATTTTATGAAGAAATAAAATTTGTAAGTTTGTAGGTAGGGGTAATACTGGAACCACTGTTCGGGTTTCCAAAATTCTTTCACTGATTTGCTGCTTGCTTTGTGTGTGCTTTAGGCTATGAATAATAGATATATTTATATAGATTGACTTACGTATTTTAGTCGAGCTTTCGATGTCGCTACATATAAAGGCTGCGGTTTTTAAAAATCAGGGATACAATAGTTTTATACGCGTGTGAATCCGCGAGCAAAAGTTTAATTTCTCATAAAGTAAGATGTGAACATTATCTTATTATGAACAAATACAATCAATTTTGAGTTAATCAATAAGTTTTCAGTTCCAGCAAAAATACAAATACATTATAACGTTTTTACAAATACAGTACAAAATAACGTTCAGTTTCATACTCATAATTATCACGTCAAATTCAAGGGCAATCATTTGCCTGACAGGAAGCTGGAATTAGCATCATAAACTCTCAACGAAAATAACCTCCGCAGCTATAAAATTACCAATTAATTTCGCGAGTATAAGGACGAAACCCTAATGTATTGATTACAATTATTATTGTTACGTACATAAGTATTATTATCAAATGATAACGATATTGAGCAATAAATAAAAAGTAATATTATCAAAAAATGTGCGTGTCACTGAATCAGCATTATTGTGTCGATTTTAGGTATGTTAATATCAAGAAACGCGTCACATAGTCTGGAGTTTAAGTATCAAGACTTTGCACAGCTGAGAAATTGCTTAAGTAAATAAGGACGAAATAATATTACAGCAAATGACTTTAAAAGCCAACCACCAATAAACGATTAATTAACATTTTCATTAAGGAAATTTTATTAAAAAATAACTAGAACGTAGTAATTAATACATTTAAATCGATTCACTTTTATCAATCGAGTTGTCACAATAGCTACTAGCGTGCAACCACCGTCCAATTACCTGAAGTAAACATGAAACTGCAGGACAAAAACTGCGCATACCGTGCATATGTGAATCGGACATGTTTATACATCGAGCGTTTCCGTTAAGGTTCCGTGGTTTGCTTTGTATATGTATGTCAATCTATACTAATAAAATAAGGCTGTAGAGTTTGTTTGTTTATTTGACCATTTATCGGTAAAGGCCATTGGCTAAAGAATCACGCTACGGTTTAAAGGAGCAAAGCAGCGAGTGACCCCCGCGGGAGGTAGCTAGTATTAGCATAAAATTATATATTTATAAAATACTTGCACGATAGTCCACACTATAGCGTTGGCGGGAAAGATCATTTATCAGTTTTTTGTGGGCTGTGATTTGGGCGTATTATGTGTCATCCATTTATGGCCTCATCACCATCAATCTGTGATTCACTACTGTAAATAGATGTCTTCCGTTCCGACGTTGGGATAAAAAAGGGGAATTCAATTGTATTGTATGGATTTATGATAATAAAAGCGACTCTTAGTGGCTTCACACGGGTGTTAATCCCGATAACTCCAACAATAAAGCTCACGACAAAAATAGTATCATCCAATTCAGGACCTTAATATACGTATAAATTTAGGCCGTGTCTAAATACTACAAATAAAATGTAGCCCCACATTCAATTAAAGCGCTGATTTTTCAATGGTTAGATAAAAGTTATCTGGGGAATTATTATGATGCTATCGCGTCAGAATGTTTGAATAAGACAGTGACAGCAACAATTTTAATCGTCAAATAACATTTATCTCGCTATTGAAAACAAGATGTTAGTCAATAAAATAATCTTCTTACCTGTGACAAGCTATCTGGTGCCGGTGCTCTATGGGAGTAATGAGTACTGAGCTCCTCATCATCATGACTCCAACAGTCGCCCGCATCCCCATCGTCTAACCCAGAATATAAGGACAGTGCTGGCCATTCTGGTACGAGGTTCTCTTCACTCTTCGTATGTCTGATGGGTGGTGAGTGCGGTGCCGGAGGCGCTGGTGGTAGGAGGCGAGGCGGCAGAGGCTCATGACCGTCAGTTTCTAACACTTCCACGTACATTATGTATGGGGCCTGTCGGAGAAGGAAATAAATAATTTTATTTATTTTTGTCTTACACAAAAGCTAGCTTCCGCCAGCGGCTTCGCCTGCGTGGTATATTAATAAGTAGCCTATATCCGATTCCGGAGTATATCCTATGCTTGTGCCAAATTTCATCCAGATCCGTCCAGCAGTTTTGGCGTGATTGAGTAACAAATATCCAAACATCGTAACTTTCGCATTTAGTAAGATTGGTAGTATTTTGACATAGTAGAAATTATTGCATCCAGTTTTATAATATTATCATCGGCCACCTGTTTAATAAAAAAACAAAAGAAACAAACTCAGAGGTCACAAAAGTATCTACCTACATAAAACAGAAGATCATCGAGTAAGTTTTTGTTAGTTGTTTATAATAAACTATGTATTTATTCAGTAATTCCGAATGAAAATAGATGTACAAAATTAAATCTAATTAATTTTAAGATTTCCTAGAAAGAGTCAGGAATGAAAACACGACCAAGCAATGTTGACGTCTGAACATAATTGTTAGTTTATCTATTTACGTTAAAATATAACACTATAATGTAATATCATTATAAGTTAATCTTATCTTTCGAAATAATTGTTGGATAAGCTATCGCATTGCAATTTTCTCTAGCAATTTCATATGTATTTGTACCAATTCCAATCGTGTTAAAATTAAAATTATTCGTATATGTCTGCATATACGAATAATTTTAATTCGTATACGAATAATTTTAATTTTAACACGATTGGAATTGGTACAAACCAAGAACTCAATAAAACGTAGATTTAATAAGATTCTTTAGCTGTACAGATGTTAATAAATAGTCTTCTTAATTGGCAATTATAGGCGCACAGCTGGGGTATATTATATCGGAATTTATTACCATACTTACCTATTGTAATACAATTGATATGGTTTTTATCTTAGAAGTTATCGGTTAGATTGAATAGTGTAGTTTTATCGGTATATGTATTGTATGGTAATCGTTTTTGAGATATCATGTTCTATTACGTACGCTGTCAATGTTTTTAGATACACCACGTACCGTGTAGGTTGGTGTTATTTCCATTGATGGATTACTTGGTTCCTATCTCCTGTAATGTGTGGTGACATTTACATTTATTTTTTGAGCGAGGAAAATCCTTCAACCTTGGATGAGGAAAAGAAATGTCAGTTAATGTCTCTTACTGACTAAAAACTCACTCCGTTCTAAGTTTTACTTAAGAAACCTAACCGGGAAATTTTAGAGAAGTCTATGAATAATGTGTAAACAAAATAATAATACTCGTACACAACGCAAAGTTTTGATTAGAAAGCTTAAAACCTTTTATTTACATACCGAACACATTTTGTGTTTACATAAATGTATACAACAGAGACACATTAAATATACCGTGGTTACCCATGACGAGCCTCATGTTACGAAGAAACAAATACACAATTATTCCGAAATGTATCATAATATTCATAATACTATTTTTGCGGGTAATACAAACAGAATTTAGAAAACTTTATGAGTATTACACAATTTTAATCCATATGGTATGTACTTCTTAAGTAAATGGTGAAGGGAAATCCTATGAGGAAATTGCCATAAAACTAGCCTTGACTGTACTAAGGCCACCCTTTGATTTGTATAAAACTTTAATTTTATGTGGATACGTTGACTCAAGGTGAGTAACTAGAGTCTTTGACGTGTTTAGTAGGCTACACGCACTTTTTATACAAAAGTAGTTCGTGGGAATTTGGAGCGTCCTTGTATGAAATAGCAAGTAATTAAGACTGTCCATTTAACTCTTATCTGTCCAATATCTTACTTAAAGAGTTCTTGAGACCCAGCACAAGGTTGAAATTCTTACGGGTAACAATGTACTTTTTATTTTGAACGCACATACCTAGTCTATAGTTTCTATCAAGTATTTGTGTAAGAATTTCTACTATGCTGTATCTAAGTAGGTATTGATTAACACTAGGAAGACCGAAATTTTGAACTACCTATAAAGACCAGGTGGGGTCAAATGACCCATTCATGGGTTATAATGTTTTATTCATGTATTATGGTTTTAAGTTTTATTGATTAACATCTTATAGTAAATAAAAGAACTTAATAGTAATTAAACATACATTACGTAATAAAAACATAAAAATATTACGCACATTTTTGACATTTAATTGTTTACATTACAAGAGCCACACAAAAGCTATTAACAGCGAGTTTATACGATTTTTACGATTTATTGGTTTTATTTCTGCATTTTTGTAAGCGGGTATGCTATTATCAGGCTGTGAAGTAGATGGTGTCATCAGGGAGTGGGAATCTTGGCCGACTAACTCCCTGGCCAAGTCAAGAATGAACTTTTTTCTACTGATTTTTTTCTCGATAGTTTTTTGTACAAAATCCAAGAATCATTCGCTGTCATATCCAAAATATTATTATAAAACACTTGTCCTGTGTTACAATTAGGTTTATTGCCATATTTACACTGGTGAAAAAAATATCAGTAGTTACATTTCGAGCAGTGGGTCCATTGGTCTCAATACGACCCACTCGCCTGAACTTTGATTTTGTCGATGGCTTTCATTTCTTTCTAAACATATGGGACCTCGACCTCGACCTCTTCTTAGGTTTTGCACTATGTAAGTCCAGAGCTACTAAATCTGAAACAGTGGAGTAAACGCTAATAAAATGTTTCCTTTTCTCTCAATGTAAAAAAATATTATTTTATTTACATCAATATACAAAATATATATACACTTACTATCAGAATTGGAATATGAGTGGGATCACCATCCCTAAAAGAATCACTATTTTGTGTAATATTGTAAGCACTTTCTTGACTTTCTGAGTCTAAATGCAAAATGTGCCTCACTTCTTCAGTTGATTCACAGTCTTGATCGTCCGGTAAATTTTGCGACACTTCCAGTATTTTTGAAGGGCAAAGGGAACGATAATGAGGCATCATATTATTATGGCGACCCATGATATGTCTTTGTTTTGACAAGAATAAAACAAGAAAAAAATATTTTATTTCAACTATCCATAACACAAGTATATTCCACGAAATGTAACTAGCAAGCACGCAGTGGTGTCATATGACCACTGCGGTCTCTCTAGGTAGGTGATATTTTTTTAATTAGTATTTATCTTGCTATCGGTATACCCATATCAGAATAATGTAAACAATGACGAAATATTAAAAGTCATAAAACGACAATGAGTTCAGTGCTATGGTTTTGATAGTAGCTTGATTTCATCTGTACAACATTACAAAACTTGGAATTATATCAAAATATCTTTAGAATTACTACAGACAAAGACGTCATAATTATCATGGGTAGTAGAAGAAATGACTCACGATGACAAACCACCATTGGAATGGTGTCAAAAAGATCTTACGTGCAATGTACCGGGCTATTGAACTACGAAAATAGCATCTACTGTTACGACATAAAAGTTATCAGTATCAATGTCACCTCCATGTTTCCATGGGCATACTATTGTCTACAACAAACGCTGATAATGTCACTACGTATACTGCGTCACATGCTTTATCATGATGATCGAAAATATGTCAACGAAACAAACTAACATGAACAGTAATCCTTACAAGATTAGCAATAACTTAGCATTGTTATTTATATAAGAAAACATACAATGCCTTATATAATAACATGACGTGAATATATTACCCCCGTTGTAAAGATAAATCAGATTAATGGCGCGTAAGTAACAGGCTTTAGAAGACTCGACATAGTTATTAATTTGTTTGAATAAAGAGGTTAGTAAAACATGGCTTCAGGCTTCATCCATTTGTCCTTTCGAAGCCGTATAAAACAAATTGTTATAAACATTTCGATCGCGTTTGAAAGTCTCTCGGATCGCAATAAAAGTGCGAGTAAATCGGAATTGGATTTCAAAAAGGCTAAAGCTTAATGGAATAGAGTGCCTACATTTAATCCTACGATAGGCATCAAAAGAAAATCCTTTATTAGGCTTTTAGGAATCAAAAACAAAAAAAAAATATAACTGCTAAAACTATGACTAAGTCAAGTTTCAGAAACACGCTTATTTCAGATCATTGACCGATTTAAAAATGGCATTTTTATGTAAAGAACAGAAATTAAAATGAGTTTGTATATGTGAAACGTACTTCAAGCAACATTAACTGTACTCAATGCTAATACGACATACGTAGATTGGCAATGCAAGCGCACTGCGCAACCTTCTCATTATTAAAAGAATTCAATCGGGGTAATGGGTATCGCGCATTATATCTAACACAATCGAAGGTAAACGACCTTCGTTTTTTAAATACAATCCTTTAACTATATCATAACCTACACAGGAATAATAAAGTCTTTAAGCATGATTAAATCCGTTTTAGTTTTTTTAACTCACAAACAGCCAGCAACTTTTGCAGATCCGACTTTGAGATTAAGTACTTATCGCGGAGTCTTGCCAGACGAGTAAGGCACTTAATTTAAGTCTAGATTTAGCACTCAACAAATTTTGCGCATGGCTGGGTTACCGTCTGTTCTTTCATTTTAGAGACACTTCACGTACAAGTTATGAGTTTTTAAACAAATTTCGCAGAACGGGTTTTAATTTGTAAGACGAGGAACTTCAAGTCTTGATAAGACAATTAGTAAAAGCGAATTATAAAAAACTCACCTTATCCTTGCTGTTTAAGACGGCAGCAGCATGCGGTGGTATCCTGAGCACATAATGAGGCCTCTGGTGTAAAGGTAACCACACCCGAGCAGGGAGGTTGAGGTCTAGCGTCGCTAGTTCGGCCCTGAGACGGCCATTACGACGCTCCTTATCCGCGACCCCGGCGAGACGACGGCCAATGTTCGTCAGTGACGTCAGAAACTGAAATGTGTTATGCTCATGTTTATTTTACGCAATGAAAACGTCTGAAGTAGGTGAGTGAGGCCAGTGAAGCGAAAGTTCTCAAAGAGATTTCTAATGTGGAAGCATGACATATTTTGATAACGATTGTGAACTATGCAGATATTCACTGTAAGTTTACTTGTTAAATATGAAAAATTAACACGTTAGAGCGTTCATGATTTTCATATTAGAAATGACTCGAATTCAGTTCAATTACAAAAGTACAAATATCAAAAAAGTAAGTCTCATTTCGCAGCAGTGATTTAAAATTATTAGCTCGCGTCTGGCACTAAGATAAATCAAGTCAACTGTAGAGATTTATACGGCAATGCCCTGGTGTTTTAGGTACAGCAAGAAATAAAATAAATGTACGTTTGTATTTATTTTTCTCCTTGTATATAGACCTTTGAGCAATGGCACTGGTAGTTGAGGTGAATCAGTACCGTACAGTCACGTGTGATCGTAACGTGTTGAGAATATTGTTGTATCGACAGGTCACAGGCATTTATTTATTTATTTAATTAAAAAAGGTACACCAACAGCTTCTGTGTACAAATTAACAAAATTGTACGTTGTCACAAGTAGAGGGCTTACACAGTTGCCAATTACAGGTGAACCAACATTCAAGAACATAAGTGATTGCTTAAACTAAATAAATCTACTTAAATGAAATAAACTAAATACAAACAGAATTAGAGTATAAAAAACAGAATTAACCTTAACAATAAAAATCTAAACAAACAAACATGAGAGCGAAATTAAATTAATGAGATCAAGATGCAATCTTAAAAAAAAAGAAAAATACTAAATTATAATGAAAGTGGTTGTAAGATATAAACAGTAACAGCACAGTTAAGTGAGTACAATTACCTAATCCTTTAGAGCTTTATGACTTAAAATATGGGTTTTAAAGATTTTTATGGAGTTATGGTATATGTCAATTTCTGGGTTGGATTTTGTAAAACAATTCATCTCTTTGCTGAGCCTATTGAGAGGTGAATTTTCTCCTATATTTGTATTGGAAGCTTTAGTGTGGAATAAATGGGTAATGGGATATCTGGGTATTCTATAGGGGACTTTTATTCCAATTTGCTCAATCAATCCAACGCAATCCAATTTATTGTTAACTAATTTGTAAAAAAACATAAGATCCTGTACCAGTCGACGGTTGCGCAGTGTTGTCATCTTGTAGTGTTGAATACGTTGTTCGTATGGGCACCGGGGAGATACACCACCGAGGGTATACGCTAGGTGTTTTGTGAAGGCCCTTTGGATGCTTTCTATTCTTTGTGAGTGTACTGCGTAGTGCGGGTTCCACACTACGCTGGCAAATTCAACATGGCTCCGGACTAAGGCGTTATACAACACAATTTTCGTTCTTACTATCTTAAATCCTTTAGTACTTCTTTTAAGGAATCCTAGTAGCCGTGCCGATTTCGTAACTATGTTATCGATATGGCTTATGAAATTAACTTTACTGTCCATAGTGATGCCGAGATCGCGAACCTCATTTACCGTTTTTAATAACGCTCCGTTTATATTATATGTCACAGCATTAGATTGCTTTTTCCTCGTGAATCGTATATGGCTACATTTATGTACGTTAAGTTTCATGCGATTAAGTTTGCACCAGTTTTCTATTCTATCCAAATCCTCCTGAATTAGGGTAATGTCTTCATTTGAAGTTATTACTTTATAAATTTTGAGATCATCGGCAAACATTAAATATTTACAATGACGGATTTGGGCACCAATGTCGTTGACGAACAATAAAAACAAAACCGGTGCAAGGTGGGAACCCTGGGGAACCCCTGAGTCGGCAAAATATGGATAAGATTCGTAACCATTAACAACAAGAGTCTGCGATCTATGAAATAAATAAGATTTGAACCAGTTTAGAAGTGAGCCATGTATGCCATTATACTCCAACTTGGACAGTAACAAAGAATGGTCAACTTTGTCAAACGCACTGCTGAAGTCCGTGTACACGGCATCTACTTCTAGTCTTTTATCAAGAGCTTGAGTCACATCCGACACAAACTCAACGAGGTTTGTTTCTACACTGCGACCAGCTTTGAACCCATGCTGACTTGGTGAAATAATTCTGTCAATATGGCGAGTAATTATTGGACAAACAAGTGACTCAAATATTTTAGAAAAACATGACAAAATTGAAATAGGGCGATAGTTTTGAACATTGGCAGGATTACCCTTTTTAAAAACCGGGACAATTCTCGCTGTCTTCCAAAGATCAGGGAATATACCCTCAGCAAGGGAAGAATTAAAAATAATCTGCAATGGTAGAGCGAGTTCTTGGCAGCAGCGTTTTACAAACAGGGGTGGTATACAATCAGGTCCAGCACCTTTGGAAGCATCTACGAGTTTGAGCTTATTCAAAATTTGTTTTTCCGTTAATTTAATGGTGCCTAAGATTGAGTCAATACCAGAAGATCCATTGGTGGTGCTATAAGTATTGGCTGGATTTTGATTAAAAACAGAGACAAATTGATCAGCAAAGAGGTTAGCAATATCTGGACCACTGTTAGCTACCTTATCATTCATAAACATTTCAGCAGGTATGCAAGATTCTCCGCGACGTTTGTCTTTTATGAATCGCCAGAAAGCTTTAGGGTTTTTGGGAATATCGTTTTCAATTTTACTTTTGTATATGTTGTAACAATGATTTATTAAAGTATGACAACGACTACGTAGTAACTCAAAGGTAAGTCTATCTCGGGGATTATTGTATTTACGGTATTTTTGTCTAAATTTCTCTTTTTCAGACAGAGTTCTGATAAGTGACTCAGAATACCAAGAGGGATATTTAGATTTTTTTCTTACATATTTGGGTACAAAATTATCAATAGCGCTACGTAGTATACCGTAGAAAGCGTCAACTCTTTCGTTAGCATCCATACATTCATGGAAAGCATCACGCCAATTTGTGTTTTTAAGATAGGTCTTGATTTGGGTATAATCTGCTTTAAAAAAGTTGTAACCTGAACGATATTTTGTTTTTAACTGTTTTAAGTTCGAGAGCGGAATAGATATAAGGATGTTCGGGTGATGGGAGTCTAATTTGCTAAGCAAGTCGTTGGGCTTAGTAACTGTTATATCCGATATGTTACTCAATACTAGATCTAAAATTCTACTTTCAGCATTTATAATAGAGTTGAATTGATGGAGCAAATTAATTGACAAAAAGTCTACCAATGTGTAGCCCAGTGAATTTTCATAATTTGACGGCGATAGATGTAGATCGTCATTATTCATGTTCCAATCAATAAAGCCCAGGTTAAAATCCCCAAGAATCACAACATCATCGACATTATTTAGTATGTTGTTAACATTATTCAAGAAGCATTGTAAATCATTCAGTTTGACAGGAGGTGGCATGTAGATAACACAGATAGCTATTTTCTTAATATTATTGTTGACAATTAACTCAACAGACAACCATAAATCTTCAAAATCACTTTCCCAACTTTTTATTCTTACAGATTTAATTTTATTATTAACTGCGACCATCACCCCACCACCGTCTTTTTTAGATGCCTTTGTACTTAATCTATCTCTACGATACAACGAATATCGCGGGTCAATGAACTCTCCATTTGTAACGTTAGGGTTCAACCAAGTTTCAGTAAATGCTATTACATCATAGTTAGTCAGCAAAATATTTTTGTAAATATCACTAGTTTTAGTCCTCATTCCACGAACATTTTGATAATAAATATCAAGCATTGTGAATACAAAAAAACGCGCAGAACATTTATATAAAAGAAACATGAATATACCTTTATTTAATTAGTAACGTCAGTCGCTTTCATTAATTTTAAACTATCGTGATTGCGAATGTGTATAGGCTTCGAGTGAATATCTTTCCGTACAAAAATTCGACCGTTGCGTAACCAGACAAAGTCATACGACATCTCTTTAGCCAGCTTACGTGTTGCCGCATGCAAGTGTTTGCCAGTGGGGCATAAATGCTCGCTGACATACACAGGCACTCGGCTTCCACCCAAACCAATGCCCAAGTGGTGCGAGTTCAATTTGTCCGAGGGATGTTTTTTATTGAAGTTTCCAACAGCAGCCAGAAGGTTGTCACGCTGGCGGGGACTGCGGAGCTTAGCTACCACAGAGCGTGGGCGGTTATTTTCTTTGTTTTGTTTTGCAACTCTTGTAATTTGCATAATGTCACTGTCACCTATATCACAATTTGTTACCTTTGCGATATTTTTCAAGGTCTCCACAAGGTTTTCAGACTTGTCTTCAGGTAAACCGTTAATCTCCACGTTACTTTCACGCATGTTTTGCTCCACAATGCACAACCGCGTAGTGAGGTCAATGACATTTTGCTGAAGCTTTGTGTTATCGCTACGTAATTGATTAATTATGGCGTCTTTTTCTTCAAAGCGTTTCTTGAACTCTTCGAACTGTTCATTGAAAAATCCGAACGAAACTTTGAATGCAGATATTTCTCCTTGTATATTTTTCAATTGATCAGTAAGTAAATCTTTGAAAGACGATTTTACAGCGGCAGCCAATTCTTCCTTAATTATATCTCTTAAAGTGTCCTCGTTAAAACAGCGTTCATGGCTATAGGAGGTAGATATGGGCTGACGACTGTTCTTCCTCAATGTCACATTCATTAGATCAGGTGGAGTGTTTTGATTGGATTGAGTTTTATGTATGGTCTTGGGGCTCGATGTTAGTTTCCGACCTGGCGATCGACGGAGGTTACCAGAATTATTAGCCAGGCGCACAGGAGTATTAGTATTGTCGGTTTTTAGTTGTTTGCAGCAACATTCAGGGCATATCCAGGCGGACTTATAAACTTGGTCCATGAGATAAAAGTTGTTACTTGGTATGTTCACACAAAAAATATCAAATCTTAATTTGCATTCGCAACAATCCAAAAATTCCAAATTATTTATTACATTCCGGCATCCAGCACAAGTGTAATTTTTCGGTTCCAT